GTCGGCCTCTGGGGGCCGCGCGAAAAGCTGGTCATCGGGAAAGTGTCGAGAGCTCGGGTGACCGCGTAGCGAAGTATTTGACGTGGAGATGCACACATATATTTACATACATATATATACATATATATGTACGTATATGCACATCTTGTCTTGGGGGCCCTGATCTAATTCTATGAACGTCTGAATGCGAGAGGGCCTGAACGACTGGGTAAAGGCCAGTCTGAACGCCAGTGAATTTGGGCATGAGTGGGTATCCCCCAGCAGCCCCCCCCTTGGGAGGCTCAGGTGCAATGCTTGCGACATCGCGGTGGTCATGCGACCGTGACCGGAGACGCGTCGGCTCCCCCGACAAGGGCGTCTCGCCAGGGTCATCCCCGCCATCCGAGCGCGGCCGGGCCCGTGCAGCCCTTCCCGGCGGTCTTCCCTCGGGAGGCTCAGACGTCATGCCCGCGGCCTGGCGGTGGTCACTGGGTCCTCGGGAGGGAGGGGATCAGAGGCGCCCACGCTAGCCGCTTCTCCTCGAACAACCCCGCAATCGGGGGGCGAAGGGGCCCGTGCAATGCCCCCTGGCGGTGCCACTCCTGCTGCATCACACCGTTGAGGAGCGAATCAGTCTGGGCATGGGCAGCGGAGTCTGATTGCGCGTGAGTCGCAGTGTGAGAGGGTCTGAGTACGAGTGATCCTGAGTATGAGAATATGAGTGAGTCTGGGTATGAGTGAGTCTGAGTGGGTGGTTCAGGGTGTAAGCGAATCTGAGCGTGGGTTAATCTGAGAATGAGCAAGGCTGAGTGTGAACGAGCGTCTGAGTGACCGAACTCTGAGAATGTCCTACAGTCCGAGTACGAGTCAGCATGAGTACGAGTGTGAGATTATCTGAGCGCGCATAAGACAGCCTCAGCCTGAGGGAGGGGAGAAGCAGGAGTGAGGTGACGAGGTGGAGGCGTGACACTACTGGCAACCAACCCCGCACTTAGGACGTGGAGAAAACTACTGCATCGGATCTCTGACTCTCCGATCTGAAATTGTGTTGGATAAGCACCACAAGAGATGCGGAAAAGTAAGCCAGACTTTTCCGCCTCAGAGAAATATGGCGGATATTTCCGCAAAGGTAGGGCGGAAACAGCGACGGCAAAGTAGGGCGGACATCGGCGTCGAAGGAGCTTACAGTCAAGGGAGGAAAAACATGCCCGACGCCGCATGGCCTTCCGAGGCCCCTGCATCCTTACCGCCCATTCTTGCGATACGGGTTGACTTCTCGAGCCGCCGGTTCAGGCACGAAACGAGCTCAGGAGGGGACCCTGGGGCACTGCCGCGGCCCGAGGCCCACGGAGGATCGGAGCGGAAACCTCCCAAACGAAGGTTCGAGCCCCGTTTTGCAGTGGTTGTTTCCTCCTCCTCCTCCTCCTCCTCCTCCTCCTCCTCCTCACGCACTGGCGGCCGCGCGGCGGTCTGTTCCGCCGTAGCCGAGCGCGCGCGCCCGCCCGCGGCCGCGGGCTGAGCGCGCGCAACAGAATCAGGAACCAGCCTCTGGGCCCGAGGACCCCCGCCGAGGACGAGAGGGAAACCTCGAAGCCAACGACCTCAGAGGGCCTCGAGACGGGGGGAGAGGCGGGGCCCCAAGGCCCGCGGGTCGAAGACCCGAGGCCCAGTTCTTTTCAGCCCCCCAGCCACCACCTCGATAACAGAAGTCGAACTCCTTCTCGAGCAAGCCATGCCGAGGTGATGGTGGGAGGGCCAAATTATCGTGCAGATGCGAAGGCCCCCCCCCCTGAGACAGGAGAAGAGCCGGGAGACGGCGGCCGTGGGGCCAAAGCCGACGGAGAGAGGGGGGCCCACAGGCAAGGGGCGAGGCGAACCAGAGACAGAGGAAGGGGTCTCGGGGGGCCTCTGGGCGGCCGTCGGCGCGAGGCCGCCGCGGGCCCAGATGTGAGACGTAGGCGTCCATCTCGCCACCCTCGCGGACGCCTGCACCCCCCCAGATGTATCCCAAGGGGTCGGCACGCTCACCGCAATGGGGGAGTCCTCGACCCTGCCGTTCGTGTGGCAGGTGTCGCTGTCGGTCGCCTTCCGGTGCTGGCTGAGGCTCTGGATCATGAGCCCCTCGTATGGGCCTGGGCCCAGGCCTGGGGGGCCTGCGGCACCTCTTCGGGTGGTTGCTGCTTTCCTTCTCCATGCGCTGTGGTGACGAGCCTTCGCGGTCCTCCTCCTCCTCCGCGATGTTGTGGCTCTCCGCATCCATGCCATTGTTGTCGTCGGGGAGGTCCTTGTCATATCGGCTGTCGCTGCCATTCCTGAGGCTGTTGTCCCGCTGGTTGCAGTTGTGTTCGCAAACGCCGTTGTCCTTGAAGTATCCATGTTTTCCGCCTTGCTGCGTTCTGTGTTGTCTATCTCCTGACTCAAAGCGTGGCGACGCCCGCCCGAGGCTGGTACCCTCTGGGAGTCCCTGCTCCTGAGCAGTGCATACCTCGAGCGGGGTGGATGGGTCGTCGGGGGCCTTGCCCTCGCGGACGCTACCCTCCACAGGCGGCAAAGCTTGGCGACGTATGCCTGAGGCTTCGCATGCCTCAAGCGTTGTGTCAGGTGCGTCGGGGCTCGTTCCCTCGCAGACGCTACCTTCCACATGCGGCAGAACTTGGCGACGTGTGCCCGAGGCTTCCCATGCCTCAGGCGTTGTGGCAATTGCGTCTGGGGTCGTTCCCTCGCCGACGCTGTTGAGTTGGTCCGCGTTTTGTAAGTCATCGCATTCGTTCCAAGGTCCAATCCACACTGCTGTTCCACTGCCATCGCAGTGCCATGGTTGTGCCACGTCAAAGCTTATGCTGTTGTCTGAGATGGTTCTCGATATGACTTCATCCATTGTCGTGGCCAGCTGTTCGATCGTTCCAGCTGGAATCCATGTTGTACTCGGCGTGGTCCTTGTCCTGTTGTCTGCTCGGATGTCCATGTGCTCCACTATCTTTATCTGGTTGCAGCTCTCGCGCGTGTAGCTCTGGATGCCGTAGGCCATGCACAAGTACTCGGTGTAGATTGCGAGCCTGTAGAACTCGTTGATCGCCATTACGGTTGGCTCGGCCTTTGGTCGAGCAATCCGAGCTCCCCATGGCGTTTCTTGTCCTCGCTGACCCGCTTGGATGTCGTTGTTATTGATGTCGAGGTCGATGATCACCGTCGATATCTGTTTATTCTGGATCGAGCTGACTATCTGGTCGGACTCCTGGCGGCCCTTATCCCCGTAGCAGCGTGTGTGAACCATAATACCTTTGCCCCTTCTGCAGGTAGTCTCTGTGATGGCCTCGATGATATCACGGATAGCATGCTGCTCGTAGGCGATAATACTGACAATCATGTTGCTGGCAATTGTTGTCTCCGATCCTGTTGCGGTATCTTGCCATATCTTGCCTCCTCCTCCTCCTCCTCCTCCTCATCCTCCCCTCCTTCTCCTCCTCTTCCCTCTCCCGAGGAAGAGAGGAAGGGCAGCCGCCCATTCTGGATGTTTATTTTCGTCCGAAGTGGAGGTTCGACATCCAAAGCGATGGTGTTCGATCTTGTGGGGAGGGATCTTGTGGGGAGGATCTTTGACTTAGGTCGGGGATGCCCCCCTACAGGCGGATGTGTGACGAAAACTGAAAAGTACCATAAACAAATCCCCAATCAAACATAGCCAACAAATACTAGGAACATCTTCCCCAGGCGAACTACTTTTTTACACATGTTTGAATCTTCCTCCTGTGGAGGGACACGCCCGACTTACATCTCGTGGGGAGGGCCTTGACACGTGCAGGGGGCCCAGGAGGGACCGACCTGGCCACGGGGCCGAGGGCTCCAGACACCGGGGCGGCTCGACCGAGGGTCGCCCAGCTTGAAGTCGGTTCTGTCCTGTATATGGACAAAATATCCGAACCCTGCTGCGCATGATGCCACCCCGGACCCCAACTTGACATTGGGGTGTGTGGCAAGAAAGGGGGCTTGAGTGGACAAAACTATTCGAACCCCCAAATCACCACCCATTACTGAGTTCAACACTGATGATAACGGAGAAAAGCCCCAATCATGGGTCAATACGGCCATAGGGCTATAGGGCTATTGAGCTGTAGGATAGGGCTATAGGGCTCCTGAGCTGTAGGGCTTTTGGGCTATAGGGCTATTGGGCTATAGGGCTACAGGGCTATAGGGCTATAGGGCACCCCCGGGCACCAGGGCACCCCCGGGCACGCCCGGGCACCCGGGCACCCGGGCACCCGGGCGCCCTTGGGCACCCGGGCACCCAGGCACCCAGGCGTGCGGCGAAAATCGGCGGCAAACCTAACTTAACCATATGAATCCGCTAGGACCCCTACAGAGGCAAGCTCTGATTGGGGAATATGGGGGGGCGGGGGGGGGGTCAGTATTCCTCCAAGCTTGCATTGGGTTCGAATATATTGTCCATGTACTGTCCCTCTGCAGGGGGGGAACTGTCATGGCGCCAGCACCGCAGAGCGGATGTCGCTCGGAAAACGACAGAGTGGGCCCCGAGTACCCTGGAGAATTTCGTTCCGGATTTCGAGGTAGATTTCGTGTGGAGCCAGGAATGAAGACCAGGAAGAACCCGCGCGAAATTCACGTCATTTTTCGCTCGCCGTTTCGGGCACTAATCCATGCAGAAATCCACGCAGAAATCCGCTGCAGCACGTCTGCAAGACCGGTGCAATTAAAAATCCAAAAATAGTCAAAAATAGTCAGGGAGCGATTTTTCTATTATTTTGAACCTTTGTGGGGGTATTTTTAGAGTTTTTTATTTGTCGTCCAAAGGCCGCCTGTAGGGGGACATGCCCGACCTGACTCCAGCCACTGGGGCGGCTCGAACAGCTCGAGGCGCACAGCCGTGTCATCGCCTGGAGCCTCCCTCGAGGCATGTCTCGGGCCCTGGGGCCGACCAGAAAGCACAATCCAGGATGAAAAGGCTGGCATTGGGCGAGAGGGCCAGGAGCCCAAGCCCACGCCCTCGACGTCTCTCGTCCTCTGGACCGCCAGATGTCTCTTCCCCCTGGCCAGATTTGTCACTCCTGGCAGTTCCCTGACGGACCCCAGGCCCAGACGCAGCCTCTCTCCACAGGGGGTGGCAGCGCATGAAGGGTGTGGGAGTCGTGGCTGGAGGGTTTGACACCTTAGATGCCTCGATACGTCCGTGCTGAAACGCAACACGCGCCGTGCTTAAAGCGTCCGTGTCAATACGTTGCGCGTTGGCTCAGCGTATTGGCCCACGTTCTGGCCAACGTGTCGCATCATACCTGCGTGTTCAGTCTACGTGTTGAGCTCCATATCAGCATTCTACGTGTTGCGTGTTGCGCATCGGGGCAGCTAAGTTTGACACCTTGCTATCGCCCCCGCGTCCAGACTCCAGTGCAGGGGGCAGGAGGAGGGCTTAAACTCTCCCAGCAGAATGCCGGCAGCCCTCCCACCAGGTCGGCACCGGGAGAAGCTATTTATAAGGAAGAGGAATGGAGGAGGAGGAGGAGGAGGAGGAGGAGGAGGAGGAGGAGGAGGAGGAGGAGGAGGAGGAAGAGGAGGAGGAGGGGTGCTCCAGGGGCCCAAGCGTGCCAGGCGCGATTGGTGTGCCACGTGCTCCAGTTGGCGCACCCGATAAGTTGACACTCCTTCTTGGAAGGATGGTAGGATAGCGCACAGCGGACAAATATGCTCACCGCCCCGCCATCCTCGTCAGAATGCGATGCACAGGGCCCGCGGGGGTCCCGCTCACGATCCAGACTTTGCCGCAACGTGCACTTTGTATTTTTTTTGTTGCATGGATGGTGTGTGTGTGGGGGGGGGCCCTCATTGTTCCTGGTCTGGGGCTGGTCGAGTTCGGGAGAGTGTTTATTTTGAGGGACTTTCTGTGAAACTTACATCATCCTGGCCCCTGACGGAATATGACGGCATCCGCCGCAGAATTCCGAATTGGCGCCTTCGCTAGAGACATCTTCGCAAAACCGGTTCCACGGGAGGGGCCCAGAGTGGCTCCTCCATTAGTTTCTGGCAAAGACGCATTCTTCATGTCCTTCTTTCGAAAATATTGGTCAGCTGCAGAGCGGCCGGCTACGGTGGGGGCGTTCGTCAAGGAATCTGCCCAGGAGGTTTCAGACCTTGAAGGATTCCTGATCTGATGAGGGCGACGGTGATATCCATGGACAGTCCACGATTAGAGTTCCACTGGCCTCCAGACCCTGGATTCCTTATAGAAGGGTTCCTTGTCCTGCGCCCTCAACCTACAGAAACTCTCGATCAACCAGAGAGCGGTCAGCTAGTTTATAAGGAGCGGTAGATGCCCCCCTTCCCCAAGGGGAAGAAGGGTGTCGGGCGGGGCGAGCTCTGAGAAGGGACCGGCGCCCGATACATCCTCCAGAACCGCCTGCTGCTCCAGGTGTTCTGAAGTACTCCTCAGCTTCCCTCGTGCTTCTTCTCCTCCCCTTCCTCTCTTCCCCAGTTGCTCTGATACGCTCTGGGGTTGGTTCTTATCGTCCCGCTCTGCGCTCCAGGCCTCCGCGTGCAGCTCTCTGAAGACTGTTGAATGGGTCGGCCCCGACTGTTAATTTGCGGTGCCGTCGGTCCGATACGATCGTCGGGAAAATTCTCCAGAACCGCTAGATTTCAGAGATTCCTGATAGATCCCTGCCCGATGTTGTCCCTGTCCTGACTTCGTCTTAGGGGTTGGGGCTGGGATCTGCCAGCCGCCGAGGTCACCAAGCGGGGGAGTTTCAGCTCCAGCAGGGTGTCGGAGCCGGACGACAGGCCGTCACCAGAGAGGCGGGACGATAATGACGCTGATGGTGTTGCTGCTGCTGATGATGATGATGGTGATGATGATGATAGTGATGTGATGCGGATGATGGTGAAGCTGAAGGTGATGGTGATGGTGATGGTGATGGTGATGGTGGTGATGGTGGTGACGGTGGTGATGGTGATGTTTGTCATGATACTGATGAGGATGGTGATGATGACAATGATGATCATGATGATGATGGTGATGATGCTCAGGTTGATGATGATTGTGATGATGCTCATGATGATGTGATATTGTGATGATATGGTGGCGAAGATGACGATGATGATGACGACAACGATGCTGATGATGTTGACGATGACGATGATGATTATGATTATGGTGCTGATAGTAATGCTAATGTTGATGATGAAGGAAGTGATGATAATGACGATGATGATGGTGGTGACGATGATGATGATTATGATGATGATGATGCTGATGGTGATGATGGTGATGATGGTGATGATGATGGTGATGAAAACGATGCTGATGGTGGTAATGGTTGTGATGGTGATGGTGGTGATGATGCTGATGAGGACCGCGATGATGATGCGATGATCTAGTTATTTGGTGACGAGGACAACACTGATGATAAAGACGATGACGATGCTGATGATGATGATGATGGATGACGAGATTGATGACGATGATGGTTATGATGTTGATGGTATGATAGTAATAGTTATGATGATGGTGGTATG